ATTTGTTTAGTTTGAACCTAGCCTAACCTTGACAAATGCAGTTAAAAATGTGTTTACCTTACTATATATAAGATATTGTATACATGTATTATGGAATCACATATTCAATATAATTTTAGATTATTAAACTATCTGCAGATGTTATGAATTATAACTAATATAATATGTGTTTATGAATAACAATTTCTAATGGTTATTAGATACATTGATAACAAGATATGTAGTTGTGTTTTCTCTTTTCATCAGTTTTCTTATCTAACTTAAGGATATAGAAAACGTAGTTACCCACTTCATTTAGTAAATTATTATTAATAGTAAATACATAGTAAAAGAAATCTAAAATCAATTTTTAATTTAAACTGTTTATCTTATTTTAATTGTATTTTAGAGCAGTTCAGTATAAAATAAATAAAAATTTGTGAATATTTGTAATATATGATATTCACAGTGTGCATATTTACAATTTACCGTTTACCTCCAAATAATTAAAACATTTTAAAATAACCTACGTTTAGGAATAGATTGTGTACTTTAAAAAATGTATGTTTAAATTGAATTTCAATCAATATATATTTCACGAGGATAGGGGATAGGGGATTAATTTATACTTGTACATATTAATCAAATATAAGGTTTAAAAATGTTCATTGAAACACATTGTTGTTAGTCATTGTGCACTAATAAATAAGGTACATTATAATAATAGTTTAAATTCTTAAAAGCAAAAAAATTACTAATTAGAATAGGGTTATATTTAATCTTATCTAAAAATTGTTTTTTAAAAATCTCAGCTGTTTAGAACATTTTTGAAATTATATCATTTTTTGGTGGATTTTTTTTATGGTTTTTGTTTTTTGTTTTTAAATTTTATATTTTTTGTTACTAAAACTGAAAGAACATTACTTACATTTTGTTTTTATTTTATTGAGTTTTAAAAAACTTGGGATTATAAACTATATTATTTATTATTATTATTATAAAAATATTCATTAATGAAATTTAAATTTTACCATTTAGTTGATCACAAAATATATGTTTGTACTGAAATGAAAAATAATATTATCTTTTTAGGGTTTTCATGTAAACATAACACTAATGTTTATCACAATTTATAGCTTTCTTAAATAGTTGATGAATCAACATTTATTATCATTATTTATCATCAAATAAATATTAAACATACAATTCTGAATAGGAGATTCGTTCTTAAATAATAAATGTGCTCTTTAATTATTATTAGATGGCAATTATCATATTCTTCATGGTTTATTAATATTTTTTAATATATAATCTGTAGTACTAATCTATGTGTATAATCTGTTAATGGAAACTTTTTATCTTATAAAGAAATTGAATTGAAATTATTTTAATACATATTGATTCTGGAATAATTGAATAGATTGTAATTGTAGTACTTGGTGTTAGTTTGCTATATCTGTCTTATTTGTCATATTATTTGTTTATATACATATATATATATATATAGATATTAAGAAAAAATACATATTGCCAATTTTGTTATTATGGCTTAAATTAAATATTGTTACTAGACTTAAGTATTTATAATCATTTAAAGAATGATCGCACTTAATCAATTTTTTTTCCTTTAGATTACTGTAGCCTATAGCTGAACATGGTCAATGTATGTTTACCTTTTACTGTTGTGTGTGTAATTTAGTGGCGGATTTAGACAAAGAAAAAATTGAAATTTTTTTGGGGATACCAAATTTACTAACGAGTAGCTATTAGTTGAGTCTTAAAGCAATGAACGTGTTAATTCAGGATGCAGATGTCAAACACATACGTATTGCCGTTACCCAACCCAAGTTTCCAAATTAAATTTTTTTTTTATGTTGAACAGGTCCACAATACATTTATTTTTACTTAGATATTTGCAATATTAGTTTGAAAATTTAGTATTCGCGTGTTATGTAATACATATAATATATGAATAATTTATTCACCACTTTCTGGATAATTATTTCATGAATAAAATACTCTTGAGTGCTGTAAAATACGTAGTATATTTTGTGATAATTATATCTCGCCGCCCTCCTAATTGTGTCGCCCTTGAAGGCAGTACTTAATCACTAATCATCTCATAATAATATGACGGCCTTCACGGTGACAGCCCTGGTGTACAACCATACACACTCGCACTATTATTGTTTATTATTATTATTATTATTATTATTATTATTATTATTATTATTATTATTATTATTATTGTATTTATAGTCTATTATTAATCTGCAATATTATCTGTCTATTTATTATATACTTGTTCAGTGGATAATATGTTTTTTCTTGATTTATAGTTCTAATGTTAAACATACTTTTAAATATTGTTTTAATATTTATGACTGTATTATTTGAATTGTTTGTAAGTGTGTTACTGTAAATGTTTTCTGATGGTCATTGTCAAGTTTTTAATTATGTTATCATGACTAAACATGAATAAAATAAAAACATAACTAAACTAAAACGAGTTTTAAGAAAGTCATATTGAATTTATATGCTAACCACATCTATGTGTGTTAGTGATGATCAGTTTTTAGTGATTATTCATAACATCAAATTTTTTATTATTACTATTATTTTTATTATTGTTATAATATTAATATAATTTATCACAGCAATTGTAAGTGTAAGCTATTGTGTCATTGAATGCTTACATCCATAATTAAATTATGTTCAATAGACTAAACGTATTTTAATGTTTTAATTTTGTGATATTCACTGATAACTACTGTAAAGTCACCTTTTATTTGATAATTCTAACTGAAACCAACAGTTCATATTTACAGTAACAAATATAATATATAATATATATTTATGATTTATTATTATTTATTTATATAAATGTATACCAATTTTGTTTTTAATATTTAGTTTTTACCTATACTTGTTTTAAATTAATAGATATTTATTAACAAAAAATGGATAACTATGTTTTTAACATTTTTATTGAAAATCAACCATATAATATACGTAGTGTAATGTCAACTCTGTATTCTGTCTCAATATATTAATTCTAATGTTTTATTATAATTTGCATTTGATTTGGAATACCTTGTAAATACTTGATTCCCAAAATTCCTTTAACTTATTTATTTTATGATCTAAGTTTTGGTAAACACTTTTTGAAGAAGTAATAGATAATAAGTAATAACATTTAATTATGGAATGAAAACAAAATATGTACTATTAAATTTTTACACACAGGCATCACCAACAATGTCATACATCATACATCATGTGTAATGTGATGTCAGTTATTGGGGCTCCTTTTAAATACTTATTATTTTTATCTATTAATTGTTATTTTCAGGAATCTCAATATATATATATATATATATATATAAATATAGATTCAATAATGTTTAATTTTTTAATTCAGGGGTTATACTACTTTCTCCACCTGACCTCATCCAATTTCATATTCATATATTTAGATTGTGCAAGATCTGGAAAAGATATGGGTATTTTTGTGCAAAATTATATGATTATTAACTTAACAACTATGTATTGGATGACAAACATATAAATGTATAAGTATACTTTTTGACTTGGTAGGCAACAAATTATGTCATCCTGGATTTTATATTATAAATAAAATGTAGCATTATACATTGTTAACATAATATGCTATTAACATAGTTAAAATCAATGAAAAATTCTTATATTAACAGGTATGTACTCTGGTGACTGAAATATGATTTCACTTAGTGTACTAGAATGAACTATTTGAATGAGTAAATCAGGTGTTAGAAACAGTAGTCAGGACTGAAGAAGGGTAAAGATAAATACGATCATATAAGGCATCAACTGGTGTATTGTAATAAAGATTATGGTTTAACACGGCACGGCTTCAAATTACGGCAGTTTGTCCATGGGAACATGTGTAGTGCCCAGCAGTATTGGTGTTTAACAGATCGAGCTTGACAAACGTTGTTGAGGCTTATGGCTGAGACTGATCCAGTAGGCCGAACTAATGTTCCCAAATCATAGTTTACACAGGGCTCACATAAGAAATCCGTTTTATATAATTTATAATACTCATAATAAAATTATTATTAATAGGTACCCAATGGTATTAAAAATAAGTTATTAATAACTAATATGGTTAATGACCCAGATACAGAGTATTAAATAAATTCTTGTTAAGACAAAAATAAATTTCATAAATAAAAATTCTACAAAACCAATATTATAATTTGTAACTAAATAAATGGTTTTTAAATTATTTTGTTTTGCATTATTTTTAATTCTATTTTATTCTATAAATTATGTTTTGTTTAATGATATATTAGGAATTTTGTTGATTGTTATGTTTCAATTTATGTATTGTGTATCACTTTATGTTATAATTAAATTTACAAATTTCAGTTATTTTTTTGATAAATATAACATTTACAAGCACTGACTCAAATAAAAATTAGAAAGTTAAGACATAATATTATCAACCTTCTATCATAAATTCATTGTCCATTATAAATTAATTATTTATGGAAAAAGTTATAAATTATGATTGTGTATAAGGAGGAATGAGTATTATTGAAAGTTCCTTGTCATTAATTATTCATAAATTTATAATTTATAAATGTTTTTGTATAGAAACTTGTATTAAAAGAAAATTGTAATGATAATTATTTTAAGTATTTAATTTTTGGTAGTCTAATGAAGCACATGGCCCACACCTCATTGACATTTCTATATATATATATATTTTTAAATATTAAAGATTCAACATTTTATTTTTAAATAGAAAATTAAATTTTTATTAATAAAATTAAATTAAAAAGTATTTTATATGATTGTAAATTTCATTATTATGATATAAACATATTCTTTGAATAAAATACATAGGTAAACATTAGTTTTTTTCACTAAACAATGTTTTACAAATTATTAAGAACAATAATAAAACATTTAAAAAAAATAAAAACAATCACTTTAGTATTATAATAAAATTCATAAAATTATACTAGATTGTTAAAAACAATTATGGGTTTAAAAGTGGTTTGAAATATGATGAAATACTTGCACATGGTTTTTTGGGATTTGAATTTGAAGCTTTTGAATTATGTTTCCGTTTTAGACCCCGTTCATTTTTCTTCTTTACTGTTGGTTTACTTTCGTGTATTTTATTATTTAATGGCTGTACAGGGTTAATATTTAAACTATTGTTCAATTCCATTGCAACATGATGATCTATGTGCTCGTCATATATATCAATATCAATCATTTTATCACATCTTTCACATAATAATGTTTTAGGCACACATTCTATAGTATCTTCAGTAATGGATGATTGAACGGTTGGTAATGACTCTATTTTTGTATTATCAGGTTTATGGTGTTTAGTAGGTGATACAATTTCCAGTTTTCTTGAGAAAAAGCTGTCTGTTGGTTGAGATGTTCTTTCAAGGTTATCATTTAATACATTTTTTGAAGGAGAAATTTTACCAGAGCTTTCCAATAAAACTGAATTTTCTGTGGAAGATTGATTAACAGTTTTCAATTTCACATTTACTTGATTTTTAACTGGGGAGATGATTTCTAGTTTTTTGGTAAAAAAACTGTTCATGTCAAGCTTATATTGCTTTTTAATTTCTTTTTTAGAATTAACATTTTGTAACGTTGAAGATGAATTATTGAAAGAAGTATCAGAACTTTTTATTTTAGCAAACATAGTTTTTAAATTCTGTATATCACTAACACATGTTTTATTTTTTTTATTGTCAGAGTGATTTAAAGGTAGTGGAGATTGATTTGACAGTGGTGCACTAGTTTTAGAATTTAATTGTTGTTCAAATGGTGTAGGATTATCACTTTCACTATTGCTATTAGAGTAAGTTGTACTGTTTTCTGGTCTAGTCAATTGAATATTAATATCCTTTACTTCTTTGGCAGATCCCTTATTGAAATAATTGTCAATTGATGATTTGGCATTAATTTCTACAAATCTTCCAATAGCTACACCTAAAAATGAAATTGGATTTTTCCTGTGAACAATAAATTTAAAAATTAGAATTTTTCCGTCCAGAAATATTATCATATAAAATATGAATATTAGTTAATCAGTATATAAGGGGTGCTAAAAGAGATAGTTTTTTTTTTGTAAATATATTCCAATAATTAATATTAATATAATATCCATGGATAAGCATTATCACGGCACTTCAATTGCAAGTACCGACAATAAATAATACTTCGATTCACAAATTTGGATGTTCTTATATATATTAAATAACCTATAGCAATTTAAACATTTGAAGGCTAAGTACAAATCTGAAATCGTTTGAAGACAATGAAGTTTTAAAAATTCTCAAAAATCAAAGAGTTGTTGTTACTATCCACAATTTTATAAAAAAAAAAAATTTTAAAAATACTAGATGTAGGTTTATGTGTATAGACCCATTATTTTCGCAATTATAAAAAAAATTAAAATTAACTAAACAAACATTTTAATAAAAATAGGTAGGTAACCAAATTAATGCATCATCCATTATATTTAATGCCTACTTATTCAATTTCTAAATGTCATAATGGCTCAGGGGTCATAACTAAATATTATTATAGAACTGTCAGCACATAAGATGTTAATATCACTTTGTCTTTTATTAAGAGTATAAAAATTATTAGATTATTATAGCGGTGACTCTACAAGTCTATATTGAAATTTGATATTTCTATTTTGATTTAAGAACAATTTGGTGTCACTAAATGTTTTATAATTATTATTAATAAGCTTCACTACTTGGAATATTATAATAAAAAACCAATGAATTTCATATACTATAAGTAAATGTAAAAACTACATCACTACTGTTAAAGCGCATTCTGATAGACAGGATGATTCCATGCCATTTTATATGCACAGTTTGGTGTCTTTTCACTAATGTTCATGACATGATTATTAAAAATATTATGATAATTATAATATGTCAAATTTCGTTATAGCAAGGAGGGGAGGGGTTACAAATTTAGGTAATTATTTAATAAACAAAATATAGCGAAATACCAATGTATAGACTTTTGATTATCAGTCATGGTGCATAGTGATGAGAAGGAAGAATCCAATAGTTTATTATGATTGTATGTAGTAACTTCAAAACACTGTGATGTCGGCAATTTTGTTTTTTTATCTAAATATCTAACACTGACAGTCATTAATGTTGCTCTTCTTTTATTCTATAAATACAAACAATATTAATTATCAAAATAAAATTGGATAAGATGAATAAATCATACTCACTGCCTCATAATCATCTTTAAGTTTATCTACAATATCATTCATCAATGTGTTTAACCATTGTTTTATTTCTTCTTTGACTTTTAGCCCTGTAGGAAATGACTTACAACTGCCAATTGATTTAGGTATAAGTCTAGATTCCACAGGTTCATTGTCTATACCTTTAGAAATTTGATATAAAAAGTTGCTAAAAAGAAAATCTCATTACAATTTTTCATTAGAAATATCATTAAATTAATCATTACCATGTTTTCTCATTAAATTTTTGTTGTAAATCATTTAATGGTATTGCAGCTAAATCAGACATGAATTCACAGTTAAATTCTTTCCTTATTCTTTCTCCTAGTTTACCGCCTAAATTTTTTATTTTTTTTATTGGTATAGTTTCAAACAAATGTGGTACACTAGAAGGTGGCAATAGTGTTTGTTGATTAGGTTTGTGTAAGCCACATGCAAGTTTAGATAAAATCTGGAAAAATATACMAGAATTCTTAAATAAATAAAAGATTTGAACACTTCTAAACTGTATAATTTGCATAAACATTAAAGAAGAATATACTTTATTAATAATATAATTAAAGTTTAAATATGATTAAATCAAATATAATCTATAAATAAAAGTTAATCTGTTCAGTGGCGTAAACTGGAGGTTGTGCTGGATTGCACTTGTAACCCTCTGAAAATAAAAAGATACTATTGTAACACTAGCTGTACTTACAGCTTTCAAACATTTATATTGATTGAAACTCTAAGAATTTAGCTTAATTTATGCCTCAGAATCAGTTTCTATATTCTAGAATATTTTTTTACAAATCCTAAATTAAATTATTTACAAATTACAATGGTGTTTACTATAATATAGGCAGTTATTTGTCGTTATTTACTATATACAATTTTTAAATTAACAAACCTTGTTATTTGCGATCCCAGCTGAACAACGAAAACCAGTTTGTTCATAAATTGATTTTCTTAATCGCTCAACCATCATAGCACCAATTGTCAAGCGAAGAAAACAGTCATCTTGTAACTCATTATTGTATACATCGTGGAGCCAAGATTTTAAATGTACACTTTTATCTTCTCAATGAAAAAATCAAATAAGTATAATTCAAATATTTAATATTTACATATTTTATCATCATGGTTAAACTATAATTAAGTGTTTATATTTTTAATGGAGTGTAAACAATTATTAGTTCAGATTTAATTTTAAATAATATTTTATGATAACTTAAGAAGTTTTATGGTGGAAAAACTACAAAGAATAAAATATACACAAAATATTCAATATTCGTAAATTAATAATTTGGGTCATCTTTAAGAAAAATTCATACTTTAAATTAATTACCTTTTGAGTTATCATCTGAATAGCCTTCAACAAATGTATTCGGTAGATCATTTTCAGTTATAACATTATTATTAGATGAGATGTGATGAATTACAACATTAGTTAAATCAACATAAGCCTCGTCAATGCTAGCCCTTTGCACACAAGAACTAAATTCACTGAGAACCTCAAATACTTTTTGACTGGCTGTACGGTATCTATAAAGAACACAAATGATTAAATAAGAAAATTAAATAATTATAACATTGTAAGAAATTAAATTTGTACTATTTTTCAGTTCTTACATTTTAAAATAACAACATACAGTAAGTTGTAATTTTATATTCTGAAGCAGAATATTTTTTTAGTGTATTGATACTTAAAAATCAAATTTCAAGTTGATTAATCTATTATTTTATAAATTCAATAAAATCATCAAGTCTGAAAAAATATGCAATATAGCCTCTAAGCTTTAAATACATTTTAACTTTTAATTGTTGTAGTTTTTTGAAATTTTTAGTTTACCTAATCCAATAGGTCAAAAACAACATTCAAATGTTACAACTTTTAGTTCAAGTATTAAAAGTTTAGATAAGCAAAGTAGTGAAGTATCATTTCAAACCTATAATTTGATTTGTATGAATCAAAGTACTTAAAAAAAATAATTCTGCTTCAGAATATGAAATTTAAAAGTGCATGTTAATGTTGAACCTTTTCACTGGTACACTATTTGTGTTCTGTAACCTATGTATACTATTTAAAATAAAATATTTTTAATTATGTGATCCAGGGTTTCTTAAAACTGTACGGTTATCGGGAAATTACTATATAAAAAAAAAAAAAGGAAGTCAATAACTCAATACTAAATACTAATACTGTAACAGAATAATCTCAATGTTTTGGACCTAATAGTAGGATTGGAGCAATGAAATAGTTAAAAAATAATAAAACTTAAAATATGATATAGATTATATTTTTTTCTTAAAAATGTACTAAGTTAAACAAAAACAAGGTATTGAAAAATAATTTTTAAAAAAGTCCTTATTTTACAAATAATGAGCTAGATCATATTTAAACAATATAAGTGTGTCTACTATTAATTTGAAGTTATAGTACGGCACCAGTTTAAATTTACAACATAAACAAAAACGTAGCACATCAAAGTAAATATATTATGTATTGAACCTTGATGAATGTGTATGAAATAACCATTGTTTTAGGTAATTTTACTAAGTTTCAAATAATATAAACAATTTGTATAAGCATATTATACGTTAATATTAATGGAATTGTAAATACAACACAATTTTAATTGAAATAATGATTACAATTATGATTAGATAATACCTAGTTTAAATTAAACGAAGAATTAATATTTGACAAAACTGTTTGTAAATTTTAACACTCATAGCTACAGAAAATTCCATACCTTTAATAAATATCATGGCTGTACTTATATAGATTACATCATATACTAAGGATACAGCCAAACTCGAATATTCCCATGTACCTATTAGATTTGATGCCAAAATGACTGAAAAAGCTAGAGCTTTTGTCATTAAGGGACATGCATAAATAATTGGTAGTCCAATCAGAACAACCAATCTGAATTACGCGCATACACACAAAAGGTTGGTGTTTTAAGTTCATTTATAGACCATATATTTATTTCTTGACATCAAGAATTAGATTCATAATAAAATTAGATCTCTGAAATGATCAAATATATACAGCCATAATACCAATCAAGTCAAAATATCTTACTTTGATAAATCTGCTTTTCCATGGAGCTCTTTCACACGTACCAAATTTAAATCTGGACATGCCTTTACAGCGTCATCTCCTCTCATATGTCGGTTTACTCCCTTTGCCCTCGCCTCATAATTCACTGCGATTATCCTGGAACACGATGATAGAATGACAATGATCCCATGCATGTCAAATACAAATATTGTTATGCGAGACGACTCACCCACCTCCTCTCCAACTATTGTATTGAACGACTGCAACCGGCTTTCCAGTCAACGACGGGTTGTGTTGAACCTCTACTTGACAGTAGAAACAATCCATGTCGACTAACGCTACCACTCGTTTGGCACCACAGTCATTCATGATCAAATCAAACAGGTTTCACTTAATTTTTAACCAAAAAAACGAAAGTGATGACAACTATATAGGTATACCACAATTACAATGGTCTTAATGTAATTATGTAACTAGTTTTCCGGCTGTATGGAGATCAAAGAAGACCTTTAAACGATATTTTTTATGTTGATAATGTAGTCGGTATATAGAATTTTGTAAATGTACAATGCGAAAAAACAATTTAAAGCCGCCGCGACGAAATCGTTGAGTGGTTATAAAGAGGATGTCTTGTAGAAAGTAGAATTGTAGAAATGCGAACAGTTATCGAATAGTAGTCGACATGAATCGAAAGAATATAATAGAATTATAATTAATTAATTAAAGCATTACAATAATATTATAATTATTTATTACGAAATACGAATTACAATATTTAGACGTAACATTTTCTAATTATTGTGAATCTGTTATCTATGGTGTGGATGGAAAGCCAGCGCGTCGTGCGCGTGCCGGTTAGAACTAATAGAACTTTAGAGGGGATTGGCGGTAAAATGATAAAATAGTGATAACTGATAACCGACACTACTTTTTGACGGAGTTCCATGTTTGCGATTGCGAATCTACGAACAAAAGTCCGGCAAAAAAAGACCCGCGAAAAAAAGTCCAATGTAATAAAAGTCCGGTTTATTTATTATACATATTATGTCGTACAAGAAAACATTAATGTTATTAAAAATAATAGCAATAATTTATAATACAATTATTACAATCAATATTATAGGTAGGTACTATAAAAATTAAGATATTACATACGATATGACATTATAATTTTTTTGTCAGATTCATTGTTACTTCTAAATAAAAATAAAATATACAACAATAAAATTTCATGTCATACAAGAAAACATTCATCACCTTGGCCGTGTCCTAATATTATATCCCTCCTCCCACATGAGTTAAAAACTCTTCAACACTTAGCTCGGAGTTCCTAACCAAGAAATTATAATGTCATATTTTATGTAATATTTTAATTTTTATTGTACCTAGGTATCTATAACATTGATTGTATTAATTGTATTTGTTGAATGTAAACAACACACCCTATAGTATGTAAATTATAAGTAAAATTATTCACACTGWAGTACAGYAGACGCTGAATAGGCATTTTGTATTACTAGCATATTCGTTCTATGTAGTAGCCTGTAGGACGATTAGTCGTTGTTTTATATTACGCCTCGGAGCACTATAGTTATTCGTATCAATTATACATATTATTATATTATTACATATATCCGATCTAATTATTATTTACCTTTAGCTTCTGTGTATCTGGTGTACTTCAACTGCAGTATTATAAATGATTGCTATTATTTTTAATAACATTAATGTTTTCTTGTACGACATAATATGTATAATAAATAAACCGGACTTTTTTTCGCGGGTCTTTTTTTACCGGACTTTTAGGCAGAATACCGTTTCTGGCACAGCAGCTGCGCTGACATCTGGATTTTAGGTTATCCATGATGTTTCCTCCTGAACTTAGCCACGGCCCAAGGGCATCCGCAGGGGGGGCAATTAGGGGCATCTGCCCCTCCCTTGGCTTCTTTATGGGTTAATTATCATAATCACTATAATGTACTATATTATGTAGTATAAAATATCACAAAATAAATATTTTTTAAATTTAAAACATTTTTTGAAACGATGAGTAATCCTCGATTACCATCACGCGCACCCGACCTCCTATACAGCACCATAGTAGATATATCTACTAGTAAACTTTGTAGGTAAGTGGTAATAAACTCGTATGCATTAGTAACTATTTCAAATATTTGGATCAATCTACTTTTATTTGCAACCTTAAAATCATTATTATCATTGGTGCTCCCGAGCTACGGTTTAAATATATTCAAAAGAATCTAACTTCTTCCCTGAATATAGGTATTTAACTGTTCATTACCAATCACGTTACATATTTGGACACTATTATTTAATTTTTTTTTTTTATATTATTTTATTATATATTCAATTATTTATTTTAGTCGA